GGCTGTGAGTCACAGCGCTGAGACATGCGGTCGTAGGTGTGTGAAGAAGCTGTTTGGAATCACAGTGGGAAAAAAAAGTAACTGTACAGGGAATTGTTTTGTGACATCACTAGGCGTTCCTCAATCCTGCTCTTAAAATATCACCGGAGTTTATAGGAAGACGTTTTTATATCCTGGGTGAATTCCGGAGACAGTTAACGCCCACAATGACGTAGGAAATCAAAACAAAGAAATCTGTAAATCATCTAACAAAAATTGTATTATAAAGTACCTAGAGAAAATAGCAAATAAAATTAACAGAAAACGATTTAATTTATCTCATTCTGTCGGCTTCATGGTTCTGTTTTAGATTTTATTCACACGTCTGCATAGTTAAAATATAAGAGTTATTTCAGACAGGCAGAGAATAGTTGGTAAATAATCGATGTTAAGCGCACAGATGCATACTATGTAATATAAATGTGACACAGTGGCAGAATCCAGAATTTTAACCAGGGGTGTTCGACAGGGTTTAGTTTTAGCACATCCAGGGAAGCTGAGTTCCGCAGGCTTGGAAGGGGTTGGTTACTGAAGAGGGTTGTCCACTGTCCTCTTACAGCTGGGGAAGCGCCAACTCATTTACTTTTAGAATCAATAGAATGTGTAGAAAACAAGTTTTTTTAAATAATCTAGGTTATAAAAGTATTTTAAAGCTACAGAAAATCACCATAATCATAGAATATAATACAGAAACTACCCGACTTTCCTTCACTCACAAAAGTTTTAAAATCGAAATATACATACATCCTCCAACCAGTATTTGCCCCTAGTGGCTTAGTGGTAATTCTGAAGGCTTATAACGCTAAAAACCGGATATTGATACCCGTATGTGTGTGTGTGGAGGGGGGCACTGATCATATATCCAATAATTTAGCTTTATCTTAAAAAATCTGTATAAATGTAACAGTGCTGTCTGTTGTATATTAATGTAACTGCTTCGTAAGGTGTGGATGGATCTGCACCAAAATTGGTATGGAGGTTTCATTGGGTCCATGGGGAGATACATACAAATGTTCAGTTTTGCGGTTTTTATTGGCATATTTGTGTTTTATACCACTACCTCACCTCCTGTTGATGGATCTTCACCAAATTTAGTATGGAGGTTCATTGGGTCCAGGGGGAGATACATACAAATTTTCAGTTTTGCATTTTGTAGTTTTTATGGGCGTTTTTGCGTTTTTTACAATTACATATAAGGGAAGCAAATTTTCATGTCCTAAGATAACCTTTCATTAATCATGAATTTATATAACTTCCGTACAGGAGACGGGTACTCCAGCTAGTAATAAATAAATAAATATATATGTAATAACCAATACCACCTATTTACACTCACAAAATTGGACTGTATGCAAAAGAAACTTGTTTTTTCACGCTCAACCAATTACTGTCTGAATAAAATAATAATAACAGTCATCGCCATTTTTGTTTTGATTTTTACGGATTTTAGTCACGTAACACAATAATTCTCAAGTTGAGGAGGGATGGGATTTGACTAACCCACGAACACCATCTGCTTTCGCCAGTGTGATACGTGTTTTGCGAATATATATATATATATATACATATGTGTGTTTGTGTAGGCACTTGTTACATGAAACGAGTCTTGGAAGTTGCAATATAACTTTTACCTAACTGCTCAAAAGACTCTGTATTAATTATAAATACCCGATAAACTTTGAATCCACTATATTGTTATGCCTTTTTTGATAGCACACAAACATTTTTTGTTCGTGTGAATAGAATACTATGTACTTTAATTAAATGATAGGTGTTTGTTTACACGAAGTTTCTGTCTGCTCTCAACACTGTTTTGTTTTGAAATTCCTTGAGAATTCTGAGTCACATGACAGAAGTATTTTTTTTTATCTAATATGGTTTGGCATGGCCAGGTGGTTAGGGCACTTGACTCGCAATCTGAAGGTCGCGGGTTCGAATCCCGTCCCCCCAAACATGCTCGCCCTTTCAGCCGTTGAGGCGTTATATAGTGATGGTCAATCCCACTATTTGTTGGTAAAAGAGTAGCCCAAGAATTGGCGGTGGGTGATGATGACTAGTGTTTCCCTCTAGTCTTTCACTGCTAAATTAGGGACGGCTAGTCCAGATAGCCTTCGTGTAGCCTTCAAATTCAAAACAAACTTATCTATTATAATAATTCCCAGTTTTTTGTCTGTTCTGAAAATGCGTGCGCACCTTATTATCTAAATGCGCATGTGCGGCTACTTTATTTCAACGGATGTAAGTAAACAAAAGCTTTGATAAATGTCTAACAATTGGCCATATAATTTTCTATCTATATAATAAGATGCAGTGTCTGTCTGTGTGTCACATAACTTCTAAACCACTGATCGCAGCGACTTCTAAGTAATACCAAACGAACCGTCTGAGGTTTGCAGAAAAGTAATAAAAATTTTCACCCCACCCTTTGGGAAACCAGGGGATTTCCCGAAAACCCCTTCTCTTAAACTGCTGGACTCGCAAACTTCTAAATATTAGTTCAAGCATTATATTTACATTATAGCGGCCCTGTAAATGTGGGTTATAGGCCCTCGGGTTCGCTGAGTTGTCCCGAGGTTAGCAAAAAGGTAAAAGTTTTCACCCAACCCTTAGGGGACCCCTTAGTTTCGCGAAAACACTTTTGCGGGAATTCCACGAAAGCGTACTTCAAATTTGGCATTTGATTTACAATAGAGCACGTAAATAAGTAGGCACACGAATTACCGTTTGTAACTTAATTAATTTTGCACTATAGCGGCAATGATCTTTAAACTGAAAATGTTAAATAGTAGTTCACAGTGGTGTAGGAAGGCGTTGCAAAGTGGGAGTGCTTGGATAGACATGCAGATTTTACAATTAGAGATTGAAAGTATAAGGATCTGCATGCCCCCTCCCCCCAGAAAATTAATATAATAATATAATTTACAATTGATATATAAGTCAAATATGTAAAAGTGGAGGTGCTACAGCACCCCCGGTTCCAATACCTCTGGTAATTCAAGCGTTGAATTTGTATTATAGCGGCCTTGTAAATGTGAGGCATAGGCCCACGGGTTCGCTAGTAACATTATAAGTTTGTTTATTGATAGTATTAAGTATGGTAAAATTTAGCCTTAACTAAACTAAAACACGTACACAAGTTGCAGTGTTAATTTATATCTTTATCAAATATAGTCCGTACTTAATAAAGGCTTAACTAGTGTTAGGCCTAAGATAAGTGTATTTAATTAATAGATTTTAGTGTCTGCGATTAGAATTGGTTTGTATCATTCTAGAAATCCTGTATTTAAAGAATTACACTTGCAATAAAGATACTAATTTGACCGCAAATGTTTTACGTGTCTCTGCTAGTATAAAATATATGCCACTTTACTCATTCAAAAACAGCATTTAAGCTGATGCATTTAGTTTAAATTGTATACATTTAATATTTTCGCCTTATACAGAAACAAGAAGTTTCCTTATGTAAATAATTACATGTTTTGATTTGGGCACAGTAATAAGTTTTTGACCATTTTCGCGTGCTTTTAACCATATTGCTAACAAAATGTTTAAATTAGCTTAATCATTACAATATACGCCTGACATGGCCTGGTGGTTAAGGCGCTAGACTTTCATTCTGCGTGACGTGGGTTCGATATGTTTGTACTTTCAGCCGTGAGGGTGTTATAATGCGACGGTCAATTCAACTGTCCGTTAGTTAAAGAGTAGCCCAAGAACTGGCGGTGGATGGTGCTGACTAACTGTCTTCTCTCTAGTCTTACATTGTTAAATTAGGGACAGCTACCTGGAGAGGAAACGGGCGTCCCCCAGGCTTAGGATGCTACCACTTTCATCTGGTTACGGAGTTTCTGAAAATGCGGATCTATCGCCATAACCAACCATTCCTCAATTGAAGGGTGCCGTAGCCTGTGGAAAAGTTGGCTGCAGCAGTTATTATTGTCAGTTGCTGTTTTTTTGCGCTCCTAGTGTTTTTCCCAGAAACAAACCAGTGGAAAACCACCTCGATGATTCCTTATTCAAGTAGGCAAAATATTTCGCCCAGATGTTACACGGTTCGCCCTACAGACTGCCCCAAATATCTGTATTAACTGTATAGCAAGACTTTGTATATATTCCCATTTATTATAGGCCACTATAGTTTTGAGGCCTTCAAAACATAATGAAAAGCATCAGTAATAAATAGTACTGAATGTTATGAGGAAACTGTTGTTTTTCGATAACAAACAAAAAATAGTGTTATTCTTACATCGTACCAGAACACCAGGAAATTGTGACTTTAATAGAGTTGTTTACGTGAATTATCGCTTTGAACAAGTAGTTTTACATTTATGTATTATAATGCATTAGAGATATTCAAATAAAATTACTTTAAATGAAGGTGAAGAAGATACTGGACAGTATTGTTTTCTAAAGTTATTTTGAAGATCATTAGTGTTCCTTTCCAGGAAATGTGTGTGTGTGTATATATATAAACCGGAAATAATATAATAAAATTGAAATTCAAAATTATGCCTCCCTTATCATTTCCTTGTTGCCACCATTAAAGTCATAATGGAAATGCCTTAATACCATTATGACTTAGGATGCCAAGAGGGAAATGATAACGGAGGCATAATTTTGAATTTCAATTTTATTATATTGTTTTTGGTTTATATTAAGTTCACTGTTGTTTTATAGTTCTGATTTTAATCGCCTATGAACAATTAATGTATTATATGGCATTAGGTATACTGATTTATATATATATATAATTTGTTTAGTATTTCTCCAATAGGAATTTTAGATAATTATTTCAATGTTCCATCTATGTAAGAAATACAGCAAGTGGTGTTGGCGGCCCCAGAATTTTCTTAGAAAATCAATATTTACATCTACACCGGTCTTGCACTGTTTAGAGAATACCGTGACCAGTAGTATTATTCACTTCTCGCATGCGCAATATAGCTACTGTCAGGTGATTTGCTGAGAGACAATACTGTCCGTGAGAAAATTGTGTTTGTAGATATCAGACGTTCGAATCTTTTAATAACTGTATGCACTAAGTCTTATATCTCAAGTTGTTCCTTTTCATTTGCAATACAAATTCAATAGATTAAGAAGAAAACAAACGTAAGGAAAACTGACGTTGGTTGCTATGGGAGTGGACCATAGCAACAACACTCTGACGCTGTGACGGTGAGCCGGTAGCTTTTTTCGGCGTCAGTTAGCATCCTGCAATGCGGCCTCTAAGCTTTCGAAAGAGTGCTGCCGGCGGATTTTGACCATTCGTTCATCAGCTGTGTTTATCCACTACACTCATGGTTTTGAAATAAACTTACCTGCGCAGCTCTGGTGGTTAAAGAAGAAACAACGAGATAATTTCTTCCCAAGTAGACATGTTGCTTTTTCAAGAGTTTTTATAAACCACTCCGTTTAATGATTTGTTTACATATAGAGGGACTAAACTGTGTGACAACGTTTAAGGCGACATATTAAACTGTAGCAAGAACAGGGTTTACTTATCGTTGTTTGTATATACCATGTCAGAAACCATCAAGGCGTATCGTTTGTAAGTACTAAAATACCTAGGTGCTATTAAGAATTAAATTATTTTAATTTGTTTTTAATAAGGTAATAACAGGATGAGATTTTTGGTAAAAGAAATAATGTTAAAAGTAGCAGTTTCTTTTTATGTATTTGTGTATGTGTATAATATATATATATATATATATATATAGAGAGAGAGAGAGAGAGAGAGA